TTAAAGTTCCATATTTTCTTTCTACTACAACTCTCCTCCACCAAGCTTGGATTTTTACGATGTATTCCTCATTTTGTTCGAAGAATTGTAGCCTTTCTGATAGAGCTTTCCTTAGCAAGTATCCTCTGCAATAGGCTTGAAGTTTTGTAACTGCGTTTTCTATAACCATCTGCATATATTTATTGACATGATGTTTGTTGGTTTTGTCGATTATATTGTTTACATCTTTTCTTGTTAAATAACGAGCATAAGGAACGAAGTCTTTGGGTGTCGACCAGCAGTATGTGTATGATTCCACATCAATGTACACTGTATTACCAGCATTTGTGTGACAAACGATCCATGGACAAATGTTGTGACCTTTTTTCTTTAGGGCCTTATAAAACATTTGAAAGTAGACATCTTTGCAAGAGCTTTCAAGCATTCCAGAGGTGGAAAAGACAGGGTGGCTTAGAGCATTCCAAAACTCTTCCACATCATTTTTGATAACTGCTAGATTTAACTGAACTAGTGACTCAGTAAGTTCTTTAACATTTTGAGATTCTGAGTTCACTTCATGAACAACTTGTACAATATCTTCAAGCCAAAGATTTTGAGATTCTTTTTGAACAAGGACCTTTTTTAACATGCGTAAATACAAGTGACTCTCTTCTTTCCGCAATGGCGCTCCTAATTGCAAACAAGAATGTTTTAGTAACACCATTAGAGTGTCAGAGTCCTCATCTAATACAGCTTTATTGACGTGTTCTATTACTGATACCACTGAAAGAAAATGTTTTATGTTATAGTTAAGTATTGAGTACTTATTATTTTTTTAATATGAGTACTTAGTTATTAGAATCTCTGCTCGCAATCGCATCGTCATTGATGAAACAACTGGCAGAAAAGAGATAAAAAATCCTCCTCCTCCTCCTCTTCTCTCTCAACTTCATTCAATGGAAATAAAAGATGAAGATATTTTTGATTAGTTACTAAACTATAATTTAAAAATACTTACATTCCTCATTGTCATCATCTTTCATGTTCACCATATCTATGGAGTCTCTAATGTCGTCCAGGGTGAGCAATGGACATGCACACTGTTCTCTGATCTTCACTTGCAAGGCTGTAGCTAAAGCCGATAAGTATCGTCTGCGGCAATGCGTCCGCAGCCCTTCCAGGTGCAGCTGTTTCGAGTTGAGAGCTTTCCACACACCATTGTCATCACCTCTATCCACAGCTTCAGATATAGACGCTATAGCTAATAAATACGACACAGAAGCAGCTATCTCACTCTCATTCAAATTCTTCTCTAATTCAAATTTCTCCAATTTCATTTCTTCATACAAAAGAGGCACAGCAAACTTATTCACTTTAAAATTCAACTCTAAATGTGGATGATTTAAGACAGCATATAAATCGTCAGGTGTCCCTTCATCTAAAACTCTATTCACTTCATTAATAGCTGTTTTATGGTCTGTGTGCTCAACTGCCTTCTGATTCCCTTCGTTAATAATATTTTGAAATATTTTATGCCAATTTGTAACACTTTCTACATCAACATCTTTATTGCATTCATTGATTTCCTTAACAACATCACAGTAGAAATCCAAATTATGGGGATTGTAATTCTTAGTCTTGACCCAATTTTCATTAAATATTTTATCTAAAGTGTTAACATCGCCATTCTGAGAGGCAGAACATAATTTCTTCCATAAGTATTTGTAGTTGACCGCAGTTATATGCCCTTGTATTTCGACTACAGTAAGTAATTCATCATACTCATCGGGTACATAGCTATCATTAAGTGAATGATTAAGGGCTGCTTGAATCTTTTCATATTTGGCTGATTTTAATACTTTTTTGTACTCATCTATTAATCTATTTTGAACATGTTTCAACTTTAACTTTGGGTTTAGAATAGCTGAAGTAATTGATTTGTCTGTGTCCAGAAGGTTGTTCAGTTCAACAACAGCATCATGCATTGCAGCACCATCATTACCACTGTTATTCTTTGATAAAATCCCTCCAATCTTTTGAAACGAAGGAAGTGGATGTTCACATTTTTGCAAATCTTTTGAGACAGAATCCAACTCTTCATCTGGAATTAAAAATAATAATAATGGGTTTTATGAGTTACATAATCAAAGCCAAAGTCAAAATCATTTATTTCAATTAGACCAGGAAGGCACTTTTGAACGTCAACAACAAAAAAATTTAGAAGTGAAGCTAGTTGCTCATTCCAAGGTGTAGATTCCTATGTGGAAGAACAAGCAAGAAACTCCATAGGTTACTCTTTTTCAATCCTAAATGCAGTCAGAGATTGAAAAAGAAAAAGAAGAATAGTCATAATTTATATAGAATGACAATTATAATTAGTGTTTTCCCTACCTGTGAATATAGCTTTTCCAAATACATCGTGGATGAGTGGTGCCTTTCCAAGTTTAAATAAATGTGAGCTTAGAGCATGTATGCAGTATATAACTCTTGGCATGTTCTTTTTGTCATAGATATCTGTTGTTTCTGGCTGGAAAGTCTGTAATACAGGAATACAAATTAATATTAATGTTTGAGCAGTACCGTCTTAACCATAAAGGCACTCGGGCATGTGCCCAGGAAGCCATCAGCAGGGGGCTCCGAAGGACCGACAATTTCTATGACGGACATACACACACTACACATTGCACGGCAACAAGCTGCTGCGCAACTTCTAGTGGTTTCGAGTCTGTTGTTTTAGGACTGGGTTAAAAAAAAAACATTCCAACAGGGCCCCGAATTATTTTGCCTTAGGGCCCCAGCATAGTCTAAGACGGGCCTGTGCACAAGTGTACTGTACAATAACCAAGCAAAATCATGAAAGTTTATGGCTCAGTAAATAACTGAATTTTATTACTGGGTATAAAAAAGTCTTAATGGAGTTTGATAATTACCATAGGCAGCTCTGTCTGTTTTAAGACCTGAAGGAACTTATTAATATTATCTGTATGCTTGAACTGAAGCCCCATTATCTGAAACAAAGTTAGTGACTGATGAAAGACTGGTAATAATATTTTCTTTATTTAAAGTACTTATTTACATGATATATAATATAAGGAAATAAATAATAACGTAATTTTTTTTTTACCATGGTTCGGCACAAATCGGCCGACTCGACCGGAGCGATACCACAACCACACAGAAAACCGATGTGAACAAGCCTTGAGTTGTGTATTGTCATGTGTTAAAAATTACTTTACAGAGAGTACAAAAAATGTGTATTATTTATTCAATAGGAATTAGACAGGTGTCCATTTAATATTTTCATGCAACAATAACTCTATTATTAAATGAAAATATTGCTTTAAAAGCTTATTCTTCTATACAGGTATAATTATAATATGAAATTGTATGTACAGTAAACAGTAAACAATTTGACAATGTTTGAAATATTTAGGCTTATTGAGAAGTACTTATGTTCATTAGAATAAGGAAAAAGGTATCTTTAGGAGGATAATTTTGAAGTGAATTCAAGTTGTTTTAAAAGATTGGAAGAGATCCTGATAGCCCACACAATTAGGTATGTATACTAAAAGCTATGGAATCTAATTTTTATTACTTAGTTAAATACTGTAAATTATTTACTCACTTTGTACCGTTTCTGTTCAATATCATAGATTTTGTTCATAGGAAGCAAGTCTGGAGAAATAAAGTTTCCCAACTTTGCCAAATAAACTCCGTTGCGTAAATTTTCTTCAAATTCTGTTGCTGGTGGTAGTTTCTCTCTTAAACATGCTTCCATCCAAGTTTTAGCTTCTTCTAATCGACACAGATATTCGTAAGCAATGGTCCTTTGTCTTATGGTGTCCATTTCTTGGCCCGTTTTACGAATATCTGAATCACCTGAAATTACGATACGAGTAAAATTGTAATAAGTTTTAGGATAAAAATAGGAAGAAAAGGTAATAAATAAATGTAGAACGTTTTAATAGAATAAACTCACAGTCGTCAATTTTTCCAATACGTATTTCGTCAAAGTCCTTACCCATGGTGGCAGATTTATCACAATAGCAAAATCTTTTGATATTTTCATTTAAAACACCACAGTTTCACTTATACTGTATAATGCTTGTAAGTAAATAAAACAATAATAGATAAATATTGTTTGAAAGTCAATCGCAAAGTACTATTTCAAAACAAAACGGTTGTACGGTCGTCAGTCGTGATTTGTGTTCGTTTCATTCAATTTTTTGCTCTATGGTTATCTTTGATTTCGATCCTCTGTATTTTTTTTACGTTCGCTATATTGAATATTCTCCTTTTGAGTCTTACTTATAACTAAACATTAGTTTTTGTTGCATTTTATAGTAAAATTATAAATACAAGTTGTAACATATACAGTGTGCACCTGTATGCGTTCTGTTGACAGGAATGATAAGAAACTTATTTTATGATGTATGATATATCAAAGAGAGATTGATTCAGAGAGGGATATAAGTATAAGGGAAGATATATTTCAATAATAAAAAGTAATCAATACCGTCGTCCGTTGCCCACAACTTATGACAATGCTGATGATCAATACAGTGGGAATGCTAACCCACGGTGCTGACTAAAAGTAATCTAGTTAGAAAAATTAAGTCTTGCCTTTAACCTGCTCTCAGGCACAAAGGCATCTTTTTTTATCGACGTTACATTTTTACATACACAAAAGCTGATTATAAAAAAGTGTGCCACAAAATATTCTTCGAGTACGTTATACTAAATATTTCGAGCAATCCAAATAAATATTGACATTATTTTTTTGTTACGGGTTTGATTCCCACACTGAGCGACATGTGTATTTATAAACGCACTTACGGCACTGGAGAAAATCTTAATATGCGAACAACTTAAATTAATTACATTAAATGATAGGCAAGATAAATACTACTGAATATAATTTTATCATATTAATAGAAAAATGTTACACTCAACATAAACTCTATGAACTACTTAAGATTACATAATGGTTACATAGGTAAAATGGTAAAGAATAATAATCATTAGAAATAAATCTTGTTTGTTGACTGAATTTCGGTTAAAACCTCTGCATTTCCAGCATTTAATAAACAAAATAATTCTAGTTCTTGAGTAGCTTGTAATTTTTTTATTGCCATATCCGTTGGTATCTTTTCTTGCAATGTTTTGTCTGGAAGAAAACCCAGTGTAATATACGCTCTGCGGAATTGCCCAGCAGAAAGCCAACCTCGGTCACCAGGATCAAAACTTTTAATGATAGCCTTCAAGTGTCTGGAAATGAGATTAATAAAAATATACATCAAAACGTATAGTTTGATGGTAAGCAATAATTAATGCCACCCTTGGCGTATCTAACACAACGCAATACCAGCAACGTTACCAATATGTTTCCGATTTTTCAAATGGTTGGTATTTAAATCTGGTATTGATGTGTTTTTTTAATACCTAACTTGAGACTTACTAAATTAACTAAAAATCGCGGTTTACTCAGACCTAACTAGTAGAGCTTTCTCAGTATATTCACGTGAGTAACCCGCCATTTTTAGTTAATTTGGTATTGATATTATAGAATCATATTCAAGCGGAGATTTTAAGTGTGAGAGAGCTATGCTTCGGTACGAATAGGCCGGCTCGACTGGAGTAACACCACGACCTTACAGGAAACCGACGGGAAACAGCGCTTGCGTTGTGTTTCGTCGTGTGAGTAAGGTTACTGGAAGTCCAACTGGGGGATTCAGGGAGACAGGGCGAGAGATAACCCTCTCCAACAATCCTCAAACTCCTAATCCCCAAAAGGCCGGTAAAGCACTTGTAACGCCTCTGGTGTTCCAGGTGTCCATGGGCGATGCCGATTGCTCACCAGGTTATCCGTCAGATCGTTTACCGGCTTATCCCATGAAAAATCTCTTCCCAAATAAATATAGTTCAGTCCCAAGTAAATCTTATCAATAATAAAGTCCTTTAATGCATTCGCATCCGTTTGCGAATGCATTAACGTCCTAGCCGACTATGCTAGATGAGTCTTACCTGTCTTCATACAGTACTGGAGGTTTTCCATACCCTGAACGGAACAACATACATTGTTCTAGAAGATTTACTATATAGTTCGCCGGGTCAGATGGATTAGCAGCAATTATTTTAGCTAAAATAAATCTTATAAGTTCAGGAATACGACGTTCTCGTAAGTACTCTTCTGTGCGTAAAGTTGATGACAACATCCGTTGCTTGTACTCCGGAATGTGCACTTCTTGAGACGGTTCGTCACTTAAAATACATTTACACACTGGTAATTGCGAAGAAGAATTAACAGTAACACTATCCGACATTGTAATGATGTGAGGACAATCAGGATGATGGTGTTCAGTACGATTTTCGTCCATTGTAGTTAGTCTATAATAATGTTATCTCAGGCAAAAGTTAATAGATATCAAATAACAAAACACCAATTATTAAAATAATAAGTATCGTAATATTCTATTTTTTATCCAATAATATTCGTTCACTTTTACATTAAACCTAGTCTTTGCAACTTATTGTAATTAGAAGGTATCGCCGGTAATGAAAAGGTATCGATACGACAGTGTCGAAAATGACATCCAGAATAGGTAAATGTAATTTTAAATTATTGTCAGAAAATATGATTATATCTAGACCTTGCAACCTCATTGCTATTACAAGGGAATATCCCAGTATCCTGTATACTGTAACCACGGAATATACTGTAACTAACTGTACACTATTTAAAATTAAGAGGGAAGGCGTGTAGCGCCCGTTAGTACCCACTTACTCTTTGCCTAAACTCTTTGACAAAGACCAAAGAACTTTTTATTAATATACTCTTTGGTATAATCTATACATATAATAAAATTGTAGAAAAGTGTTGTCTGTACATTGAAAATAGAAATAAAAAAAATAGCAGGGGCTATTGTTATGTCGATGTCGAACCCAAAAATGTAACTAACTTTTTTTTGTCTGTTTGTCTGTTTGTCTGTTCACGCTAATCTCAGAAACGGCTTATCCGAGTTGGATGCGGTTTTCACGAATATATTGTGGTATGCTTCAGTTATGCTTTAGTGTTTGTTTCATGTCAATCGGTTCATAAATAAAAAAGTTACGTCAAATTAAAGAATCACGTCGAACACTATCTATCTATCTATCTATACATATAATAAAATTGTAGAAAAGTGCTGTCTGTACATTGAAAATAAAAATAAAAAAAATAGCAGGGGCTATTGTTATGTCGATGTCGAACCCAAAAATGTAACTAACTTTTTTTTTGTCTGTTTGTCTGTTTGTCTGTTCACGCTAATCTCAGAAACGGCTTATCCGAGTTGGATGCGGTTTTCACGAATATATTGTGGTATGCTTCAGTTATGCTTTAGTGTTTGTTTCATGTCAATCGGTTCATAAATAAAAAAGTTACGTCAAATTAAAGAATCACGTCGAACACTATCTATCTATCTATACATATAATAAAATTGTAGAAAAGTGCTGTCTGTACATTGAAAATAAAAATAAAAAAAATAGCAGGGGCTATTGTTATGTCGATGTCGAACCCAAAAATGTAACTAACTTTTTTTTTGTCTGTTTGTCTGTTTGTCTGTTCACGCTAATCTCAGAAACGGCTTATCCGAGTTGGATGCGGTTTTCACGAATATATTGTGGTATGCTTCAGTTATGCTTTAGTGTTTGTTTCATGTCAATCGGTTCATAAATAAAAAAGTTACGTCAAATTAAAGAATCACGTCGAACACTATCTATCTATCTATCTATACATATAATAAAATTGTAGAAAAGTGCTGTCTGTACATTGAAAATAAAAATAAAAAAAATAGCAGGGGCTATTGTTATGTCGATGTCGAACCCAAAAATGTAACTAACTTTTTTTTTGTCTGTTTGTCTGTTTGTCTGTTCACGCTAATCTCAGAAATGGCTTATAAATATATATATATTTAACAGGGTGCGGAAAAGGTGATAGTGGTTTTATTCCTCAGATTCCTCTCATTCCAAAAAATTTTCCGTTTAATTTTAAACGAATTCAGTTTCCAGTGAGCCTATGTTTCGCCATGACAATTAATAAAGCTCAAGGTCAGACTCTAAAAGTTGTGGGTATAGATCTAAGTATCAGCTGTTTTTCGCACGGTCAATTGTATGTGGCTCTGTCCCGTGTTAGCAATCCCAGCAGCCTGTATGCTTTCACCCCCGATGGCCATACGTCTAATATTGTATATAGAGAAGCATTACAGTAAAGTAGGTTTTTAGCTACCCAAAATGACTGTGATTATGATCCAAATCTAAAATAAAAATAAGTATATATTTAAAAAAAAAACGCTGCTCATAGTCACTATTCTACGCGAACGAAGTCGCGGGCACAGCTAGTAATACATAAAACTTTGCTTTTCACTTCAATGACATTACAGTGACATTTTATATATTTTAGCTAATCGAGGTTTCATTCAAGCTGGGTTTGAATTAATTTGACTGCAATCCTATTATACTTTTTGACCACAATGGAAGATAAAAATATATCGAACGAAATTATACTGAACTATGAGCTTCTAAAGTTAACATCTGTACCATCCCCAGCGACACCAAAGTCATCGGCCTCACATCTTTCGCCTAATCCCACCGAGCCTGTATCACTTTGCAAGTGTCTATTATCTCCTGAGCCGTCTAAAGAAGAAATTATTTCAGAACGCAAGAAAATGATGTTTTCAGCGGTATTTCGAACTGAAAGCTATTTGCGTGAACGACGTATTCCTGAACTTATAAGATTCCTTCTAACTAAAATTTTAGCAAGAGATCCTGATTCGAATGTGTCTACCTATTTGTCGAATCTTTTAGACGACTGCATGATATTTCGTGCCGGTCTCGGAGTCGCTCCGGTATTGTTTGAAGACAGGTAAGAAACAAAGACAGAACAATATATAAAATTATCCATTGATTATTATTTCTAGTTACCAGATTTGGCCATATTGGAGGTAAGTTTAGCATTGTATACTTTCTCATTTTAGTCTCGCATCTTTTTCAGGCATTTGAAAGCCATTGTCAATAGTTTCGATCCATCTCAACGAGGGTGGCTTACCGTTGGACAAGTACGCAGAGCTTTTATGACGTTAGGCCTTACTCCAGATGATAATTTGCTTGATAGAACTCCAACTGATATAGTATTCCAAAGCTTAAAGGAAAAACAAGAGCTGGAATTATTCAACTTATTGGCTGCTGGAATGAAACCCTTGCGTGATAATGAAAGTGAACCTTAAAAGCTGAACCAACACTTAGAAGTTATATAGTATTGTACCTAGTTTCATAAGACATTTTATTTTAATACTCCTGTAGCTTATTTTAGATATATTTCAATTTCGTTTTAGTTCTATACCTATTACCTATAATACCTACATTGTAATTGTTTCCAATTTTAATTAATTAAAGTTTACATGTGCAATGAAGATACCCGAAATGTGGGTATTTTAAGACTGAAACAGCACATGCTTCACCGATTTGTAATTAAAAAATAAGTAAGTGCTTAGTTTCAATTTAGTTTTTAATTGGTACATTTTTGTTAAGGTAAATATAATTATTTTAACATTGTACTTATTTTAGAAATAAACGATTATCTATTTCATCTGCTCTTTGAATTAAAAAACATAAT